TCAAAAATGGATAAAAGAACACAATTTAAAATTTGAAACCATTAGAGGAAAGCAACCATACAGATACAGGCAACAAGTTTCTGAAAACAAACTCCAAGAACACAGTAACTCCAATAATTAACAAATTGAGTTACATAAAATTAGCAAGTTTCTACTCAGCAAAAGAAATAATCACTGGAGTAGTAAGACAATCTATAGAAGGAAAAACTAACTTTGACAAGAATGTGTGAGTTAATATTTAGAACATCTAAAGAACTGCAAGAGAGGGTAACTGGGGAAGAGAATATGAGCCGTATTTATAGCTGCTCTATCCAACATAACCTAGAACTAACCTAGGTGTTCATCATCAACGGATAAATAGACAAAGAAAAAAAATGACTAGTATGTGCAGTGGATTTAATTCAGCCATAAACAATAACCAGATCACGACATTTGTATGAAAATAAATGCAACTGGAAGTCATTGTGGTAAGTGAAACAAACCAGACTTAGAAGAATAAATGTTGCATAGCTCCTCTTGCATGCAGAATCAGGGTTTTAATTCATATATACACGCATGTGTGGTGGGCATCCTTGTGACAGGTAAACAGATGAAGGTGTTGGGGAATCAAAGAGAACCAACAAGAAAGGGCAGTGTGGGAGGGAGGGCAATGGAACTGAATAAATGAGAGAAAAACCCATGTGAAAACACCATAACGAAACCCCTATTCTGTGTTCTATGAAATAAAAATTATGTTAGAAAGACAAAAATCCAGGAAGGAAACATGAGCTGCAGGGGGTCAGATGCTGTAATGGATAGCTTTAGTTATCAACTTGACACACCAGGACAGAGGAAACCTCAACTGAGTAATTTCCCCCCATTGAACTGGCCTGTGGCAATGTCTATGGGGCATTTTCTTGATTGTTGAATGTTGTGGAAAGGCCCAGCCCACTGTAGGTGGTGCCTTCCCTGGGCAGGTGGTCCTGAATTGTATAATAAAGCAGGACAGGCCAGGGGAGCAAGCCAGTAAGCAGCATTCCTCCATGACCTGTGCTTCACCTCCTACCTCCAGGTTCCTGCACTGAGTTTCTACCTTGGGCTTCCTCAGTGATAAACTGTGACCCAGGAGATGTAAGCCAAACCTTTTCCTACCCACATTGGTTTTGGTCAGAGCATTTTGTTGCAGCAATTGAAGGCAAACTAAGACAAAAAATTGGTGCCAGAGAGTGGGCTATTGCTCTGACAGACCTGACCCAGTTGTTTTGGGAAGAATTGTGGAAGTGTTTGTAAATTTGGGTTGAAAAGCCATTAACTGCTAAGAGTTTAGCAAGCTGTTGCTATGGAGTTTGGAACAGTTCTGCTGAAGGAGGTATAGACAATGGAAGCCTGGCTTGGGAAGATCTAAAGGGAAGTAAAGATTATCAGGGCTCTTTGTGTGACATTTTGAATTGAAAATCTGTGGTTTCAGGTCAGCTGGGACTGAAGAATCAGCTGGATTCAGAATAGACCAGAACCATTGAAGTGAAACTTAATGGATGCTGGTTATCTGGGGCTGAAAAATCAGGTGTGAGTAACAAGAGACCAGCATCACTGTGGCAAAATCTTCATGAAAGTATTTTCTCAGAATCAGCAAACAGAAGCAATGGCCCAGAGGGTGTCCATTTCAAGCTGGAATCAAGACTTGATAATGCATGAGTCACCTGAGTAGTTCTTGTTTTGAAACTGTGAAGTGGTCACAGAGAGTACCTGAGGACTGGCACCCTGGAAGGCCAGGAAAGGACATCGGTGAAGGTGCAGCCTCAGTTTCAGTGGAGACCTCAGCAGACTGAAGATACCAGGACCATGGGACGACCACCAAGGGCAGCAGCAGGTATGGAGTGAGGCCTGCCTGAGCCTGCCAGTCAAGCTGTGTGTTCTGTGGTCTGTCTGCCAGAGAAGTGGAACCACCCAAGCTCTTTGGGGCCCAGAAGACTGTGAGTGAATCCCAGATGTCCGGCCTTGAGCTACTTTGCTGGACTTTGGTTTTGCATAAGTGTGCCTGATTCTTCCCTTTTGAAATAAAATGGTGCATGTTTTTATTTTGTAGGAGCCCACAGTTGAGAGACTTTTAAAAAAAACTTTGGGGTTGGAGAGATGGCTCAGCGGTTGAGAACACTGACTGCTCTTGCAGAAGACCCAGGTTTGAATCCCAACACCCACATAACAGCTAACAACTATCTGTAACTCCAGTTCCAGGGGATCTGACGGCCTCTTCTGTCCTTCGTGAGCACTGCACGACACGGGTATACTTACCTACATGTAGGCATAACACATACACATAAAATAAAAATAATAAATAAAAATTTTTTTAAAAAAACTTTGAACTTTTAAAGTGAGTTTTTAAGGCCTGTGGAATTTTTAAGTTGAACTGTTTTATGTTTTGATATTAACATTATACTTTGAGACTAAGAAATGGAAAGCTATGGTTTAATAGTGATATGTTCATGTGTTAAATTGACAAAAGGTCAATTGTGCTGGATATCTTTAGTTATCAACTTAACACATCTGGGTAGAGGGAATCTCAACTGATGGATTTCCTCCGTTGTACTGACCTGCCGTCATGTCTGTGGGGCATTTTCTTGATTTTTGAGTGGTGTGGAAGTACCCAGTCCACGGTGGGTGGTGCCACCCCAGGAAGGTGGTCACGTATTGTATAAGAAATCAGGTTGAGCACAGGCCAAGGAAGCAAGTCAGTAAACAGCATTCCTCCATTACCTGTGCTTCAGCTCCTGCCTCCAGGTTCCAGCCATGGACGCCCACCTTGGGGTTCCTCAGTGAAGAACTGTGACCTGGGAGATGTAAGCCAAATAAACCCTTTCTTCCCTAAGTTGGTTTTGTTCAGAGTGTTTTTGTCACAGCAATCAAACGCAGACTAGAACAGATGTGTTGGAATATTGTGTGTGGTTATTTAACTGAACTCTTTAAAACCCACCCACATCAGAGAAATGTGAACATTAAACATGTACAGATAGTAGTTGTTCTTCAGTTCAGAATATACTATAATGTCACTGTGATATGTAAAAGGGAGTTTCTAAAAGATGAGGTTGCAATACTTACAGAAGTGGTGTGGTACAAGAGGGCTCCCTCAAGGTTATTTGGGTGGATAGAGTGGAATGTTGGAAACTGGATGAAAAAAGGAAAGAAAGTGGATTTTTACTCAATATCCATAGGGTTATAGAGTTTGTGCAGGAATGCTGGGAGAGTTATATTGATTTTTTTCATGCTTCACAGTTGGAGGTACATTTCAGATTCTCCCGTCAATAACATTAACCTTTATTACAGGCTAAGTGTTTTACCAGATTCATAATCCTAAGGCTAGTATTTCCAATTATGTAACAAATTCTTGCCCCATGATTTCGGTTTTGACGACCTGATGACTCACCTTCGGTTTCAGTCGTGGCAGGCTCCCACGACGTCTCCGACTACTTGAGATATATTGTGTGTGGACCCTTCTACGTCGCCTCCCTCACTTTTGCCCCCAGTGTCCAAGCCCCACGTTGGGCGCCACACTGCCCCGGCCCGCGGGTCTGCAACGGGGTACCTGGATTGGGGAGTGGAGATGAATGTGGATGAAGCAAAGAGACCAGAGAAATGGAGACAAGACAGGATTCTGATCAAGTCTAGTTTATTGCAGCTCAAGCATGGGGTTAAATAGAGAATGAAAACAAAGGAGCAAAGAATGAGTAATCACATCAGTCAGAACACAGGGGCCATGATGTACTCCAAGGGAGGAATCTACTGATTAACGGAGAACAGGGCTATTCACTGGAAAGGAGAACAAGGCCAAGGGCCAAGGCTGTTTGGCCCTAGCTGAGCTGAGAGCCAAGGTTGTGGCCTGAATGGAGAGATCACCAACTCAGGTCTGCCAGCAGTCCCGAGAAATGGCTGAGCCTCAGGCTCCCAACACCATGCTGCTCTTGCATACACTTCATTTTTCTTGTTTTTAGCACATGATTCTCATCTTAAACTTACCTTGTCTCAGTCTTTAAATCATACATTTTAAGGAATTTGACGGTAAAAACTACTGATAGGACATAATTGTTAGGTTTGCTCCTATCTAGTGAACCCCGACGGTTGGTCTGCTTTCAAAGCACAGAGTTGGGAAACGCATAGGAATAGATATAGTTGTTAAAATCATGTAAGTATTTATCCAGGGGCTATGTTCATTTTTATATGGAATTATGCATTCACAGTGATAGTTTGGACTGTGACACACCACCACATGTGTTATTACTCATCTCATTCCCACAGTTCTAAATCATTTTACATCGATAATATAAAATCCTGCATAATTCTTATTTTTATTGACACACTCATTTCCAAGTCATGCATATAAGTAGTTCTATAGGTTCATCTACAACAATAATTATGACCTTATGTGCCAAAATCCATATTTATTCAGTTACAATTGTCGTAAAAGTGAAAAATCTTATTTTGCTGAATGTTTACATAAGTTAAATGTTTTCTCTCATGCATTTTATGGTTAGGTAATTCATTTGAAATAAGGATGAACTGCACTTGATTTTGTTTGTATTTACTTTTTTTTTTTTTGATCTTTTTGAGACAGGGTCTCCCTATATCTAGCCCCAGCTGGCCTAGAACTCGCTATGTAGACCAGGCTGACCTT